CCCTGTCAGTGATTGTATGCACGTGACCACTTGAGAGCATTTCAAGAGGGAGAGCTAACTCTCCCCACTTTCGACCGTACCAGGATATTTAGGGTCTAAGCTTGTTAGAGAGTATAGCCTCCTATTGTATTAGTTTATCGTTTAATCACTTATGAGGTGTTATATTCAGAAATACGATGTATTTGCATGGTTCTACGCCTAATTATATATGTATATATATATACATATAACTGAAATGATTTCAATCATAACATGTTTTGTTTTAAAAAACAACATTTCTTTTCTTATTTTTAGCATGAATTAAGGTTATCAAACAATAACAATAACTTGTCCAAACAAGTAAATGATAATTACTATGAACCTTCTATTCTATTCTATTATCACTTTAATTAAAATATATAAGTAATAGATGATAAATGAATAATTAGACTAATTTAAGTTGGTTATTATTATTATCATAATAAAGAGTTTCAGGTCGATGAATGAAGTAGCTCTGTAATATAGTTGACTCACTAGTCTAACTAATATTTCATATTGTGGTTATTCAGCTTCATTGTGTAAAAAAATAAACGGTCAAATTAACATTTCAGAAATGTATATTTTGATAGTCATCAAAACATTGACCAGGTTTACATTGGTTTTTTTAATTGATCATTAATTGTGTATCATAACTTCGAGTGATTTATACATTTTTTTAAAAAAAACCCAGTCAGTCAGCTACAACGTAGGACCAGGCGCATACATGCATCGGTGCAAGTTGCCATACCGCATTTGCACAGCAACATGAACACCAAATTCATAGGAGTAGTTAAGTCAATAGTGATAATATACAAAAGAAAGATTGCAACAAGGATATAGTACAGGAAGAAAGAATTAGTTCGTAGGAAGAAAGATATGAAGCGATTTTAATCTCACAGTTTAAGGGAAGACAGCGAGCGTATACACCTACTCCATTGTGGTCGATTCTGAGCCATGTCACCAAGAGTCTCCAACCATTGGTTACGATTGTCACGCGGACCCCAACCAAGTAGTCTGCATCTCCCAACATGGCTAAGACTAGAAGTTAGTGACGTCAAGCACTGATGCCACGTTTTATTTTCGCCACCCCTGACTTTTTTTCCAACCATTCCCAACACTATTAAGCATTGCACGTCGTGGTAATCGGTGTTCAGGTATACGTAACACGTGCCCCAACCATCTCAGTCAATAAAGATTTTATTTTATTTTATTTTATTTGAACACATGTATTGGTACAGGAGTGCGCCAAATATATATGCGCCACACAATTTCAGTTCATTAATTGCGTGTGGGCTGCGATACTGCCCGGGTGCCCAGACCGAAGCAGGTGGTTATCTTAGGGGGTCACACCCCGAGCCTTTGACCTAAAGGTCTAACCCTCAAGGCAGTGGAGCATCGTAAGGAGACGCAGTCCCATGGTAGCCGGTGACCGAAAATTGGTTCATACGCCATTTGTTCCTTCAGGATATTGGAGCCCATGTGCACCATTGATTTGGAATTCGGTTAAAGCGCCGGACATTCGCTTTTCGTCCTCTCACTTTCGTAAACAACACCCCCGCCACGAGAAGGCAATGAGTAGGACTTCCCTGGCAGAGGCTGTATACGCGCGGCCGTGTGAGAGTATTTCGAGAGGGAGGGCGAACCCACCCCGCTCTCGGCCATACCAGGGCATTTGGGGGCCAATAAAGATTCACAACCTCATCAACTGATTTACCATCATTCCCTAATACCCTGCGTCTAACCTCACTATACTTACCCCTCGGCGATCGCAGCAGATGCGAGAAATAAATTTTTTTTAAAAACAATTACAACACAACTCATACATCAAATATATTATGTGATAAGAACGTTTTGGAAGATGGAAATTGATAATGAGCACTTACGGAAGAATAAACGGGGATTGATCACAGTTTAAAGGCATTTTTACACATATATTTTTTGAATGGATAGAAAATGAGGATTGGCTGCAATATTGTATACTTTGGGTTGAGAATTCTTTACTGTTAATAAAAATATGGTACTGAGTAAAGCTACAACTATTATTATTAAACTTAGTCATACTGTGGTGTGTGTTGCTTATGTTGACAAATATAAGTAGTACATAGCACCAGTCGTAAGTGTTATGCATGCCAGTAAAAGATTCAATTAAAGAAGACAGAAAGTAATTGTAATAACAACAGAATTGAAAGAATCATGAGTCTTGTAAAGCACAAATGATGGAAGATGTACAAATTATGTATTTAGTGGATGGTTTTCATATTTTACGAAAGCACTTCAATTTTGTATTATAGAATGAATTGGTTTTCCCCACCTGAGTTCTTCGTTCACTACAATACTAGCAACAGTTGTTATCCTTGAAAACTTCTTTTAATAGACATTCAGACCCCTATGTGATTTCCCAGTTTCCTTTACTTCAATTAGAGTAATAAAACTTAGTCGACAAAGAATTCATTGGTATGAAACATTGACAACTTCGATTGACTTGATCTGTAAAAGTTTCTTCCCAATGTTTTAGCTGCTTGCTTTGAATGACTATCGAGGTGCCGTTTTCTTTGGTGGTAATCTTGAATAGTAAATTGCCTGAATGTCAACAGTATCATTCCGACTACTGTTACATGTCATCGAAGAAACAGCATTTTCATATTGTGGCAAGCTATTTATTCTTGTACAACATGGAAGCATAACTAAACAAGTATACTAACTGATCACCAATGTTATTTTTATTTAGTCCTCAGTGCTGATCGAATTTCTAGGTTTCAGTGACAAGGGAAGCGGAAGTTCTCTTAAGATTAAGGGTATACTATGAAGAGAGATAACCCTATCAACACATTCGAGTTACAATCAAGTTTATCTACATAATTGCATCTTTAGATATCTTAAACTACACGGTTAATAGGCAAATATACTTAGAAGTTTGCAGTTAGGGTTGCATCAATACACAAATACAACAAAGCACATTTATATGCAACTGCAAGTCGTACCAAATCCAAATCTCGTTCAGTGAAGCAAAAATAGAACTAATGACTATATAGTCGACAATATAACAATTACTCTCAATCATTATAAACAGGACACTCGAATCAATACACATTGCTTTAAAATAGTTGACAACTTTGTTCTATTTCTAATTGTCAATCGATTATGTAAACAAGGTGATAGGTAGCAAAGAATCGATTACGACCAATTAGCCATAGTTAAAAAAGGTGGAAGAAATTCAGGGATATTGACATATTAAAACTTTCATAAGTAAACTTCAAATTCTACCTGTTTGACGATTTGCTTTGTTATTAAATGCACTCATTCGAACACTGAACAACCTTGTCACTCCAGTTTTTGACATATTCAGGGTAAACTATTTTCAATACTCACGTTACCACTGCGCTTGATTGATATTTTCCAAGTTTACGCAATACGTAATCCATCTACTGAGTTCACTTTTATGGACTCCATTTCGATGCATACGTTTTTGAAGAATAAACATCCTACTGGACTGCTAAGACCGATTTAGTTTTGATTGGACTCAGATCTGTGACCTGATGATTAGAAATCTACTTTTAACCACTGTCAAACATTACTCAACTGTACGATTTCGAGGGAATTGAAGTAACCCTATGAAATCTAAGCCAAAATCATCTATTTATTGTCGAAGGTGGAGACACTACCAATGAACTATTCAGGACCATATAATTAATGAAATAATAAGCAGTAAAATGAATCCTCTCACATGGCCACGCATATATAGCCTCTGCCAGGGAAGTCCTACTCACTGCCTTCTCGTGGTGGGGGTGTTGTTTACGAAAATGAGAGGACGAGAAGCGAATGTCCGGCGCTTTAACCGGGCTGGGAGTCGGGAAACCCTGATTTCAAACCAATTGTGCACATGGGCTCCAACATCCTGAAGGAACAAATGGTGTATGAACCAGTTGTTGATCACCGGCTTCCATGGGACTGCATCTCCTTACGACGCTCCACTGCCTTGTGGGTCAGACCTTTAGGTCAAAGGCTTGGGGAGTGGTCCCCTAAGAAAACCACCTGCTTCGGTTTGAGCACCCGGGCAGTATCACAGCCCTCACACATATCGAATGAGTTTTGTGTGGTGCATATGTATTTGGTGCTTCACTGTACCAATATCTATGTGTTAAAACAAATAAATAAAATAAATTCAATACACAAATATTTATGTGTAAACATCATTTCCGCTAACTTCATATGGCTGTTAATAAGAGGGAAAATACAAAAAGAAAGCAATGAAAAATGTTTCTCTCCTTTTTTCATAAAAACAATCATAGTTCATTTGAATCACACAGAAAAATATGAAAAACAAAATAGAATACTTAAATTACCTAAATTTGTTGAATAAAAAACAAAATGGAAATTACATTCCTTAATGAACAGATTGGTTTCTGACGGAAAAAAAGAAGAAGTTTCATTTCATATACGAAGCAGAAAGATGAAGAAATTTTCTAATAACAAGCAATAACCTGTAATTCCATCATCATCATGATGATTAGGTGGGGTGGGGAAAAGTTAGAAGAGGAAAAAACAGTAACAAGTGATTTCCATATATAAATATGTTTTATACAAATTAACCGTTGTCAACAATTATGCGTGTGTATATTGGACGAATACAATTATGTCACAAAATCGTTTCAGATTAAATTCATTACATAATATTTCAGTAGAAATAAACTTTGTCAAGAAACAAGAAACATTATATATATATATATATACCCAAAGCCACCTTTAGTTGAAAGGCAGCAAAATATTTTTGTTTTTAGTGGTGGTGGGGGGTTTAAAAAAAATCAGAATAGAGATTACAGAAAAATAAACAAAATTAAGGACGAGAAAGGCTACATAAAGAAAGACATGTAGTGCAAGACACTTCCTCCTTGAAGAAAGACAAGTTGGAAATTTTATTCTAGGAAATATGGAAGGTTAGACTTTACTACTGTTATTAACAATTATTTTGCAATCTTAGTAAATCATGAAGATGACAACGTAGTTGGTGGCACTGTGTACAGATTGACAGCTGGAGCTGGATCTGGTTGTTTAGTCACAAGAGTTTCTGCAATATTACTATCATTGTTCATAGGCATTTCAAAATTTGACTCATCATAAGCCTATAAAAAATTATTATTATCATTACTAGTGTTAGGAGATGAAATAAAATGAAATAAGTACTTACTTCACCTCAATAACTAATCATTCTTGCAGATAAGCGATAGTAAATCTAAGGTGATCTGACGGTTATGGAACTCTACATCTTGTAATTAGGTCGTGAGCTTAAACTAGCAACATCAGCTTTGTTTTGTTCGGCTGGGGGATATTTGAAACTCGTGTACTTAAACTTGTGCTTAATAAATTAGATAGATTATACTTGTAGCAGCGTTAAGGTGATAATCAGATTATTCTGATCTTGTGATCTAGATAAACATCCGAATACTATGTGTATGTGAATTGACGACAGAAATAACTCCAAGCATTATATATATATATATATATATATATAGTACTATATACCAAAAAATCGCCTTTTCCAACCAGCTAGACACACATTATGCGAACAATGCTTCCAAGACATTTATGAACAACGGCTGGAGTTAAAGTATGTTCCAGGAGTAGCAATTCTAGTGGTTCTCTTCAGTGGACAATGGTAAAATGATTTAGCTTTTAACGTTGACTTGGTGACAGTAATCGTCAGCTTAAGCAATCTCTTTCTGTCTCCACATATACAGATATATATATCCCGTTATTTACAGTTTCATGATCAATGAATCGAAAATCCCATGTAATAAAAATTGGATAAATCTACAGGTTAAAACTTGAAAGTTAAAGTGATTTCTAAATTTTCCTGTTGGTTAGAAGAACAGTGAACTTACAAAGAGCGTTTACGATAACAAATATACACTCAATAAACACTACAGCTGATACTAAACTTAGAAAACAAATAAGATACCATCTTTTGGCATTTACTGGTCTAACTTCTGTCATGCATTTATCTCATTGAATAAGGACAACTCATTTACCAGGTGCAAATTCATAAGCTTAGTTTTGAGTTCCACTATAATTATGAGGGATAATGCTGCTATCCAGCTGCCCAGAGAGATATGGATGGAGTGGGGTTCGGACCCAGAACTTATTGGATGAAAGTCGAACACCTTTAACACTGTATCACTGCTTAATGTCGTTGCACCGTATGTATGAAACTGAACAGCTCTAATCAAACTGTTCTGGAACAGTTAATGTATTATCAACTCATAGAAACCCATGATGGTCAATGTCCAAGAGCACTTACTCAAATCCAACGCTAATATCGACAACAGTTTGGTCATATCCTGCTCAACCTTCTTTCTTTTATCTTTTACTTTAAATACAACCTTATTTATTATTTATTTATTTCAACACATAAATATCGGTACAAGAGGGCACCAAATATTTATATGCCACACCATATTTGTGTGTGTGGGCTGTGATACTGCCCAGGTGCCCAAACCGAAGCAGGAAATACAACTTTACTCGGGTACTTCTCAGCATTGTTGCATATTGTAGAAATGCAGGACAGGATAGTCAGGTTCGGGTAGCCTGGGATATGAAATTATTATGTGTGACTTCTTAGTCGACCTAAGTTAAGCCGTCACACAGTCATTCGACTTAATCCAATTTTCGGCTTGGGCTAATGAGTAATTTATACATAAAAGTCATAATTACCATTATTAACAGACTCTTTACATACTCTAAACTTGGTATTTTTTAATACCAATTTTGGTAGATAAACAGACTGAGGTAGTAGGTTTCATGTTTGCGAAAATAATGGGCAACGGGGATCCACACTTGTATTTAAAGAATCATACTCCAGTATGTTAATATAAATCTAACTATCCAAAACATTTGAACGTAAGAAAAGCTACTCAGAGATAGCCCATCTATTTATCTAACTTTTTGCTTTGTTGTTCTCAAACGACCGTTGCATCCCAATATATAACTTTTTCCACGAGGTGTATATAAATTTTAAAATATTAAAACTACATTGAAAGAGTAAGACTTAAATCTCACCACTAATAAAACCATTCAGAAGCATAATGAAAGCATTTATACGGATTTACGAAATAATTAAAACGTACTTCATTCATTTCATCGGGAACAGGGGGAGTTTTTGGATAATATTTACCACAACAGCAACAACAACAGAAGAAGCAACAACAACATGTCCACAAGAAACAGGTACAAGCAAGGCACTGTAAACAGAAAAAAGTCGAAAGTTATGCAGAAACTAATTAAACTCAGAATGGAAACGATAATAATAATAATAATACAATCTTTATTTTTAAGTTATTATTCACTAAAATCCATCGAAAGACTTTTATTTGTGAGGGACCCACAAACAAAGTAGGGCACAGAACAAATTTGTATTTGTACAAGGAACTATACTTCAAAAAGCACCCCTAAAGTTAGACAATATTACGGACAATGATAAAAAAGAACTAACTTTTTCATAATGGTCAACAATTACATTGATCGATGCTATACTGGTCCGTTTTCTAAGAGATTTTTTTTGTTCAGATTATTTATTTATTTATTTATTTATTTATTTGAACACATAAATATTGGTACAAGAGAGCGCCAATATATATGCGCCACACAAAACAATGGGAATTCGAAGAGAAGTAGAAAGAAAAAAAAACTAAGAAACGCAAAAGAAAAAGAGAGTAATGACGAAGAGGTACAATCAGAAGAAATCTTTCAGGTAAGGGAGACACAACCACTTTTTATGAAGAAAGTAAAAGAAGGTTACAGCAGGATCGCCACTGGCTTCTATTCTGAGCCACATCTGATAACGTCTCTAGCCACTGTGTAGCACCATCTCTCGGACCCCAGCCAGGGAGTCGTGAAGGACCAACACAAGCCAGTCCTTTGCAGCTTTCTTTCATGCCACGACACCATGTCATGCACTGACCACCTCTCCGCTTCTTCCAACCAGTCCCAGAGTCGGCAAATAATGCACGACGTGGAATTCTCTGGGGCGACATTCGGAGAACATGTCCAAGCCACCGAAGTCGGTGTTTCAAGATGGTGACACCAATTGAGTTATCATTTCTGTGCCCGAACACACGATGCCGAACCTCTGCATTACTGACATGGTGTTGCCACTGAATGTCAGCAATCCTTCGGAGACAGCGATGATCGAACACAGAGTCTTCTAACGTCCTCAACTCGGAGAGGCCAGGTTTCACAAGCATAGGGCAAAACTGCTCTCACCGACGCGTTGTAGATCCGGCCTTTTACAGCCAGACTAACATCACGAAGGCGCCAAAGGTGGCCCAGATTGGCATAAGCCGCTCTGGCTTTCACTATTCGTGCATTGATCTCATCACTCACACCCCCGCCAGCACTTATGCAGCTACCCAGATACACGAACTTCTCAACTACGTCTATCTGCTCACCGTCCAGGGTGAGTACAGGATTAGAATCCTGCCAGTCTTGTAGAAGTACTTCGCACTTCGAAGGTGCAAAGCACATACCATACCTACGGACATTGATTGCCAACTGATTAAGTGCGGATTGCATGCCTTGGGCATTATCGCACAGTAAGACAATATCGTCCGCATACTCAAGGTCGAGAAGTCTTTCTCCAGGCAACAGATCCACACCACCATTACTTACATTCATCAGAGCTGTTTCCAGAATGTCATCGATGGCAAAGTTGAAGAGGAATGGTGAGATTGGGCAACCCTGCCTAACTCCACTGCTCGAATGGAACAATGGAGAGAGGTGGTTGTATGCCCTCACTCTGCCTGAGGTGTTTTTATACAGGGCTTTTAGTATGTTGATAAACTTCTCAGGCACACCCTTCTTCAATAGACAATCCCAGAGAACAGTCCTATCCAACGAATCGAAGGCAGCCCTGATGTCAAGAAACACTACGATTGTTGGCCTTTGAAAAGTATGGCGGTGTTCTAACATTTGGCGGAGGGTGAAGATATGATCAATACATCCTCGACCAGAACGAAACCCAGCCTGCTCCTCACGAGTCAATCTTTCTCGGGTTTTGAACAACCTACGAAGAATGACGGAAGCCAATAGCTTGGACGCAATCGGAAGTAAACTTATCCCCCGATAGTTGTTACAAGAACGACGTGAACCCTTTTTAAAGATAGGGACAACTATCGACTCATTCCATGACGTTGGTACACTCTCTAGTTCCCAAACCTTGGTAAACAACGTCGTCAATTCCTTAGTCAAAAAGTCACCACCATCTTTAAAAAGAGCCGGAGGTAAGTCATCTGGGCCAGGTGATTTGTAACGCTTCAAGAGTTGGAGTTCCTTGCGGACTTCCTCCTCATTTGGTGGATCAGTCGTCACCGGCCATGGAGGGCAGGACAGTCTGACCGATGTTGCCGGAGCAGCAGGCCAGTTGAACTGCCCTTCGAAAAATTCTGCCCATCGTCCAAGACGTCGATGGATGTTAGTGATTGGCATCCCATCATCCTCGCAGATTGTTTCACTCACACCAGACTTCTTGCTGCCAGTGGCTCGGATGAGTTGGAAGAGCTTCCGGTAGTTACCAGATGCAGCTGCTGCTTCCAGCTCATTAGCACGCATCGACCACCAGGCTTCTCGGTCCTTACGCAAGCTTTGCCCGATTTCCTTACGTAACATCCTTCGTTTATGGTCAAACTCACGGTCACCCGGAGTAGACCGACGGGCTTCAATGAATTGTAAGGAACCAGAAGAAACCCAGTGCTTAAAAGCGGGACGTTTCGCAAACCCACAACTGACTGTTCCCGCCATTTTCATGGCGTCATGCAATTGCAACCAATGCTCATCTATACTTTTCGGTGGAGTGGTAGCTAGCCTAGAGGCTAGCTCGGTTCGATACTTACTTGCAACAGAAGTTGCAACCAGCTTGCTAACATCAATCTTTTGGTGGTGGTCACTTCGTTGTCCACTGAAAAGTAAGGCAAGATTGGCGCAGACCAAGGCATGGTCAGAGTCCAGATAGGTACTCCAGAAGGAGTGGCAGCCTTGTACATAACCACGCCAGTGGTAGCTGATCGCGATGTGATCAATCTGAGTCCAGGCTTGAGATGCAGAGGGAGGACGCCAGGTGGCACATCGGCGATGACTGTGCCGAAAGTTAGTGCTAGCCAGAAACAGGTTGTGGTCTGTGCAAAGTTGCAGTAGACGGTCCCCGTTATCTGACCTGCGACCAACGAGTCCCCATCGGCCACCTAAACGACTCTCTTCTGTGCCTAGACGCCCGACCTGAGCATTCAAGTCTCCGGCTAGTACTACAATATCTGTCGAACGCACTTTCTGGAGAAGAACTGATAACTGGTGGTAAAACTCATCCTTGATTGCATCCGGGCTGCAATCTGTCGGGGCATAGGCGGAGATGACGAAAAGACATCGTTTCTCACGCCGATTTCTTCTCACTTTGATGGAACTTTCTAATCTAACAGCACATAACCGACTGTTAATGGGGATCCAATCGACTAGTGCTGCCTCAGCTCTAGCGCTTAGTGCGACACCAACGCCAGCAAGACCAGACGAAGATGCCACAGGGTCCCCGGATAAGCGCACGTAAAACAAGCTTTTCGAAGTGACAGATGGAGATCGAATTTGTAGTACTTCGCCAGAGTCTTGAATACGGGTCTCGGATAGACAACACACGTCGATATTAAGACTTTCCAAAGACATAGCCAGCCCTATCTGTTGTCCGACCTGCATAAATGTGCGAACGTTGAAGGCAGCCAGTTTGAATGGTGCACGTGGTTTCAGAAAATCTGCTTCAGTCCTCGTATTCGGTGGTAACATACAATTTTCAACCGGACAGTGACTCGAGAACGTTTAGATACAGTCGGAATTCCACCAAAGACGAGCCGCTGTATAAGTATAAAAGAGGGTGAATAATGTGGAAAATAATAATAATAATGATAATAATAACAATAATGACAATAATAGTAGTAATAATAATATTAGTATTAATAATGACAATAATTGTAATGATAATAATCTGAATCAATTGTTTGTTTTTCAAAGCGACAAAAGTAATTTCCATAGACATAAAGAGTTCATCATTTGTGTGTGGGCTGTGATACTGCCCGGGTGCCCAAACCGAAGCAGGTGGTTATCTTAGGGGGCCACTCCCCGAGCCTTTGACCTAAAGGTCTAACCCACAAGGCAGTGGAGCATCGTAAGGAGATGCAGTCCCATGGTAGCCGGTGACCAACGATTGGTTCATACGCCATTCGTTCCCGCAGGATACTGGAGCCCATGTGCACCATTGATTTGAACAGAGAAAATTAACATGTATAATAGGTCTCGGTACTCGTAAATGACGACTTTTCAGTCAGTAATTTATAATAAGTCCAGGATCTGGTACATGTGTGTCAGCCTAAGTTGCCACAACAAAACGTTGAAGTTAATATGAATACCAGATGATTTGAAACAACATCAGCAATGATAGTAGTAAAACTAACACAGAGAGGGTTGGATTCAAAAAGGAATGGATTTGAGGGTTAAAAAGTATGTAACGAAACCCAGAAGGCATAATGAAGTAACGAATGAGTGCGACCGAGTTGAGGTCAACTTAACAACGGTCGCTAACTATTGATCACAATCTGGTTAAATTAGAGGGTTAAGCTACGGTAGGTATCATAGTAGTATGTTTAGCCTAGGATAAACATTTTTTATGCAATTTGATCTCGTGTGATAGACAACTCGAACCAAAAATAATCAAACCAAACGAGTACAAAACTGACTGTCACTGTGTAATGAGGTATAATAACGCGGAATTAATGACGCATGCTGTGGATGCAACCTTCAAACAAAATACTAAAAACTGGATGACAGATATCATACACGACAGATGCGATTGGCAAGTTGATGGTGACTTATTCATTGCTTATTTATTTATATGAACAAAAATATTGGTACAAAGGAGACAAAGGTAATATATTCTGGGACTTTACTGACATTTGAAATAAACAAGCCTATTTGGTAGGGAGCCAAGTAGCATTTTGTCACGCCCAAAACTAATAACTGCCAGTTTGTGTACTAGACACTAGTCAGTCAGTACACAAACAATGACCAGAAATTTACACGCGGTTGGAAAAGAGTAGTGGACTACCAAACATCTGCAAGTCGCTAGGACGAGCACAATAGTTCTGAGTTAGCGACATTTTAGTTGAATAAAAGGTCACGAAAAATGAATTACGAGACTTTCCAAACCACACTACGTACCTGTATACAAGGGTTGCGTAAAGCCAGGTACGGCTGCCAGTCTTCTTCATCAATGTGCTCTGCTACATAAATCCCCAGAGCTCCATACCGGTCATACAATTTCCTCTTCTGTTCGTTAGCTAGTATAGAATGTGCTCTATTGACTTCTTTGAACTACAATTTTGTGTTTTCAAGAAATATACACTATACTTTTTCAGAAGCCTCAGGATCTTTTGGGTTTTTATCCGGGTGATATTTTAATGCGAGCTGAGAGAATATTAAAATAAGATGAACGTACTTTACGATAGGATTTTTTGATTTCCTCAGCTGTTGCTTTCTTATCTACTTCTAGAATAGCATATAAGTCGATATTTTCTTTCCTATAACATCAACATCAGTTTTGATTCCAACATACGTAGATTTCTTGCTGCTTTTACTATTAGAACCACTGCCCATTGAAGGATCAGTAGGCATTGCCCGGTTGGTGCTGTTCACATGATCAAGGCCACATCTTGAGATGCCGCTCAAAAGGACAAAAGGTTCAAATTGTTCGAATGATTCAAATGGTTCGAATAGTTGAGGACGGAATAGAAGAAGCCTCCGCTTAACAGACTTCCGTGTCTAGTAGCAGGGGATCACCAATACCTCCAGGCAGGAACCAAGGTATATCGACGATAATAGAAGAAAAAATGGAAATCGGTAAATCACAGTAAGATATTATCCTTAGTCCTTAAGAATATGTCATGTTGCCTCTTAAAGGACTCCTGGAAAGTCTCTTGGACTAGCCCAGACGGCAGCGAACCCCAGCATTTGGCAACTCTTAAGGAGTAGAAGTTGTGTCTACAGTCCGTTCTGCCAAGTTGTGTCTCCAGTTTCTGGGTGTTACCCCTTAGATTAGTGTTGGAACTAAGCTTATGTAGGTGTTTAAGAGGGTGTCCAGAAGTGTTAAGGATACTGCAATCCATTAGAAGGTCACTTCTAAGACGCCTATACTCTAATGGGTAAAAGATAAGTGGTTGGAGGCGCTCTTCATGAGGTTTAAATTTGAGTCCTCGAATTGATTTCGTGGCTCGCCGTTGCATACGCTCCAGAGTGTCCTTATCCTTTTGGAGTGAGGGAGGAAATACTGTGTTTCCGTACTCTGAATGGGGACGGATAAAACTATTGAAGATTATATGGAAAGTTCTTCCGTCAAACTGGCCAAAAATGCGCTTCAATGTTATCAGTGCAAGGTTTGCTCGGAAGGCATTTTTGTCACAGTTAGAGTAAGACTACAAATCGTGGGTATCAGCACTCCTCAATCTTTTTCAACCTGGAATACTTCTAGATAGGAGTTTCTTAAGTTGTAACTGTAGTCTGCAACATGTCGCAGATGGACTACGTTACACTTTGAAGTGTTGTCGCCTACCCAACTATGAAGTCGAGTCAGATCCTCCTGATGTGGCGGCATATCCTCTTGATTGCGTATCTCTCTCCAAAGTTTCATGCCATTGGCAAAAATTAATAAGTCCGAAGTTACCTGTTGAGGAAGATCATTTATGTAGATCAAGAAGAGAAGAGGCCCTAGTACTGAGCCCTGGGGGACCGCACTAGGACATTCCGTAGCCTGAGATAAGGTGGAATTAACCCTGACCTTAAAATGTCGATTTTTCAGGTATGAAGTGAGCCAATCGATGAGAGGTGGTCTGATACCCAATCATTTGAGATTATTGATAAGACATGTATGGTAAATTATGTCAACCTTCCCCTTGCGATCAAGGATGCTTGTCCATCTATCCACCACAGTCAGCCGGTTGGTTATAGAAGAACGACTTCTCCTGAAACCATGCTGTTGGGGTGAAAAGAAGTGTAAGGATAATAAATGGTCGTGTATGCCGTCACATCAGGGACTTCATAATTTTTTAAGGTATTGAGAGAAGGGCCACCGGTCGGTAGCTTGAAGGTTCGCTGCGTCGACCTCCTTTGAAAATTGGCGTGACGTGAACCAGCTTTCGAATCTCCGCTAGTTTGCCTCAGCTTAGCGAGTGTGAGAACACCGCTGAACGGTGTTGCCAGGATTGATGCTGTTTCCCTCAGTATAGCGGATGAACCATATCCGGGCAAGAAGAAATGTCTTTTCTTAGGTGCTGCAGTTTCCGGTACATCAAGTCAGCACCTAGGTTCACTTCGGAAAGTCCTGTGTAGTTGCAGATGAAGCTCTCATCAGTATAGTTGATGTGAGTCGGTCGAAATATCCGAGAGTACTGTTCAATCGGAAGGTCAGCGGCGTCACCGTCGTTACAAGTCAGGCCATTAGAATCTAGGTGTTAGGAAACTCCAGTTTTGGTTTGTCGAAGAGAGGCTGCATAACGGAATAAGCTTTTCGGATTAGAGACAAATTTATCCATAAGCTTTATCTGGTACTGAAGTCTGTCTTCTCTTATAGCCTTTGTGCATATGTTCCTTATATATTTGTGTTGCCTGTACGCGCCGATATTATCAGTTCGTTTGTATTCTGCTAAATTGTGCGTTTTGCGGCTTAGCAAACGAAGAGTGCGGTTCTTGATGACTGTAGGTGGCTTGTAGATTTTGGGGACCGTTTGAGGAATTGACTGCTTTGTAGCACATAAAAGCGTGTGCAGTAAGAAGTCCCAATGAGCATCCACATCAATTTGAGGGTGAACATCCTAATCCACCTGTTGTAGATAGTTCTGTAGAGGTGACACATTCAACCGTTTAAAATTCCAGCGCAAGTTAATGGTGGGATATCTTAGCTCAGTTTTGCTGACGAAACCGAAAGCTATAGCGGCGTGATCGCTTTTTCCCAGGGGAGCCAGGATTGAGAGGTTGTCAACAAGGATTCTTCGTTTGTAAATACACAGTCTAAGCGCGATGGTGCCTGACTATCTCTCCAACGAGTTGCTGACTACATTTTCGTATAACCCCAAGTCCTCAATGAGGTTGAAGAATCGAGCTTTAATTCAGTTTTCATCTCTAATATACATACATTCCACGGAGTTGACTCTGAAAAGATTGAAGTCCCCTAGAATCAGAATATGAGTGAAACCGAGACGAGTAGAGCAGGATAGTCCTTCCAGCATACGACTGTCATACTCGATGTCGGCAGTGGGCTTCTTATATATGACTCCGACTAGACACCTCGAAGTAGTAGACAATCTTACAGAGCACCATATGGATTCCTCAAGATTGTTAAACTCGAGGTTATGTACTTGGTGTACCTCCGGGCATGATCGTATGTGTAAGTCTACCCCACTCCCAATTCCTGTTTTTTCCGTCGTTGCGAAACAAAGACATACCAGGTATTGCTAATTCCGGACCCGTAAACTGAGAAGATATCTAAGTTTCAGATATTCCTATCAGATGAGCCTTATCAGCATTGCTAAGTTCACGTAGCTCATCCATTTTATTTGAGAAACTCGCAGCGTTCATGTACAAGCAGTTTATGCTTTCAATTTAAACGCGCGAGCTTCTCCTTTCTGTTTGTTTGGATGAGCGTTACGTGAATGGACAGGTAGCCTACCTATACAAGGTTTTCTAAGTTGATAGCCCTGCCCTTTACACGTCTTTTTATCAAGACGGTCCACAGGTGGAATGGTTAGCTACGATTTGCCTCTGTGCTTGATCCTGGCGTCATGTGTCCTATACGCATGCATATGGATTACAGTTGGCAGCCGACGTCTGTTGGCACGAAATGCTTCCAGAGTTGCAGCTGCCATATGGGAGGGTGGGAAAGTTGTCTTCATTAGTCGGGGTCTAGAATCTCCATCCTTCCATCCATCCATCCTTCTTGGATAGTCTCGTCACTTGTTGAGTCAGTATGTTTTTGAGCTTCAAGGATTGCTTGATGAATTTTCATTCCCTAATATCAGAGTTTGCTTGATTAGGGTTCGTGTTTTCCGGTACACCTTGCACAATGATATGTCTTCCGCGGAAAAACGTCTCGCGATATTCCTTAGGGATGTTCCGGATGACATTGCGCTCGGAGTACGGTATGTCGGGCAGTATTCTTACGTTCCCATCGGATTTCAGTAAATGACTCGCTAGCAAGACATCCTCTTCGTCGGTAGCATTAGTGAGTGTTATACGAAGTAGCGTTGAGTGATTTTGATACTAAGATTCCTTTCTCCGAGTGAGCCGTGTGACTATCAAAGGCTCTATTCTAGGAAGTCCAAGTTTCTTGTTCAATTCACCTCAGAGCATCCTGTCATTTTTGTCCTGCAGACTGAGAAGAAGGTCAGGGTTGTCTTTGGGGTTCATGATTATGAGAGAGTCATCGCGAACCGTTATTGTTTTCCCAGGTTTTCCGGTGCTTCCAGGCTCAGCATCTTGTGGTTTGGAGTTCGAAGCACGTTTATGAATCCAAGGCTCTTTGATGACCGGACGGACATTCTTGGGGGTTGACTGTGCGACCAAATCACCAGCTGATTTCCATACAACACCAGGGATGTTCAACTTAGACGGTGACGCCTGGTCCTTTTTAGCTCACCTACAGAGTTTTCGGGGACCACTTTCGCATTCAAGGACCCTGAGCTGGGAGACCCGAGTTTACTAAGGGAGTCGATTACCGTCGACGTAATGATGGTGCTGAGTTTCAACATGTCATCATTAGCGTCAATGCATGCTCCATCGATGGTAGACCTGTCGACATCCCTCTTGGTTTCATTGCGCGTCTCTTTAGGATTGTGATTTTGCAACTTTGCTGACAACTTATCCCTCAGACCTGTCAATGATGTTACTCAGCAAAACTTCAGCATCCGTGTTGCACCCGACACATATCCACTTATGATCGGATTTGCTGAGTCTGTTGTAAGCAGTTGCTGTGAGATCTGTGCACGCTTCGTGAAGGATCCACGAATTCTCCTGGAAGTCGAAGTGTCGTTCCATAAACCAGTTGAGCCGCAGTGTATCCAATGTCAGCTTTCACTGCAGTACGAATACCTGGTAAGACGGGTGGAAAAGTGTCGGTCCACTGTGAAACGTTTGCAGCTGGTAGTGAAGCTTTTAGTTGTTGGTGAAAACGTTCTACCAACCCGTCTGCTTGTGGGTGGTAGGCGGTCGTTCGGAAGCGAGTGATTTCTAAAAGTTCACATTCGAACTGATGTTCGCGGTTTGTAGTGATAGTTGGAGGACAGTCGAAGTTTGCTACCCATCGTTCGACGAAGGCACGGGCCACTGTTTCAGCAATGATAATAATAATAATGATTTATTCTCAAATAACAGTTTGTTGCATGAGGCATGCCAGTTCACAGGCAAGATCAAATGATGCAATATCCACTGTAGCAAATTACTCAGCAGGGTTGATAATTTATAAGATATGAATGTAAATGGTTTTAGTCACTTTAACAGTTGGCGCGCTTCATGAAAGTTGCGTTGCGAATGTGCAACTGATGGTCAAGGATAGATCCATTGAAGGTGGGGGCTTCTAGAAATCGCAACCTTATGTCCCTTTGGAATATCTGAGGCTCTAAGGATGC